CCTTGAAAATGCAATTTGTTGCAGTGGGGTGTGTGTATTAGAACAGGCTCGTGCTGGGCTGCATCTGTAGGGTATCTGGCATCCCCGCGTGCCCGGGCCAGGGTGAATATCTGCGTTCTGCCTGTCTGCGGGGTTCTGGGTTGCAAATGTGCTTTGCCAGCCCAGCACGCTCCGCTTGCCATTTACTTTCTGCAGCTTGGCCTCCGTCCGTGCCGTGAGCAGTAGGTGGGCCTCCATGCGTGCCAGGTGATATGCCATCTGCTCCCCGATGCCGCTGCTGGCTCCTGTCACGAGTCACGATCACCCGCTTGCCCCGGAGCATCTCTGGGGAGGAGGGCACAGAGTTCAGAGCCAGCGCAGCCCACTCTGTCCCCCTGCAAATGGGTGCCACTGCCCCTCTCTGCACCCTTGTCTCAGGGTGCAGGGAGCTGCAGGAGCCCACTGCAGCGTGCCCGGCTCGAGCAGACCCCCGCTGGAGTCTGGTGGTTAAACCCGGTTTGGTGGGGAGCGCGTGCGAGGCTTGAGTTTTCCATCCAGCCTGGTTTGGGAGCAGCTTTTGGAAAGGGCAAGAGCTGACTAATGAAAGGATTAAAAATTTAAAGTGGAAAACTGCATGTTTCCTAAAAAAATAATTTACTGAGGTCAGACACTTACCGTACGTCCCAGCAGACCCCGTGTCATCCCGTGAGCTTTCCTGTGCGGTGCAGGGTGCTCTGACCCCTGCACCATGGGCTGCCCTCAGCCCTCCCGTGCTTTGACTCCTCCAGCTGTGCTTGGAAAGGCCCTTCCAACAGCCCGTGCTCTTCTGCGTGGGCACACGCTGCCGCGCTGGCAGCAGCCTCCCTGACTGTGGTTTTAAAGCATGTTTTTTCCAATGACTTACCTTCGCTGAAATTCTCAGGGGCTGAATAAAAATAAAAGGCCAGCGCCAGTCCCAGCAAGGGGATGAAAATCTTCAGGAGCAGACCCATGCCTCTGCAAAAGTACAGGCAGGAGCAAGACAACCTTGGTGGACGTGTCAGTAGGTTGCCAACGGGGCAGGGAGCACTAGCAGTTTTGAACTGATCCTTGTCTTGCACAAGTTTGCTGGTATCTGTTGGATCTTTTTGTTGTGCTTCCTGTAATTTAGCAAAGATTAACTTAACGGACTGCGTCACTTTGGACTTTGGGCTGTCCCTTTGCACATTTCTGCCCGGAGTTTCAGGCGTGGTTCTGGAGCACGTTGAAGGGAAGGCACTGAAAAGCCTCCAGCTCCATAGAGCAGTGGGTGTGGTGTTCGTTGGCTGCCTTTGGGGCTGGGACACTCATGTCCCCTCAGTGTAGACTTCCATGGGATGGACATCCTTCTCTCTCTCTCTCTCCACTCCACGTCTAAACCAGAGGCAACGCTTCCCTTCCTCACTGGCTGCCACCAGGATTTATTGGTCAGCAATATCACTGTGGTGCAGGCTCGTATGCCTACCTAGAGCACGCAGGGCTGGCAAAGCTTGTGGGGTTTAGACCCTCGTCAGTGCTTCTGGCTTATCCTACATGGTACCACCACTGGTGTTTGTTGGGTGATTTTACATCTAAAAAATTGCACTCTTGTCTTGAGGAATCCACTGATTGCAAAAGGCAGTACAAGAGCCAAGTAGGTGAATAATCAAGGTCTTCAGCTTTCACAAGCGTTGCGTGTTGCACTGCTCTGCATCTGCCTGGGCATGCGGTGAAGGGATTTGCAGATCAAGTTCTGAAAGTTTAAAGGGCAAAACCCAGTCTGTGCGCACTGGTTTGTGTAGGCGATCTCGGGATGCAGAGAACAGAAGTGCCAGCTTCCTTTAGAAAGCAAGGAGCAAACGGATCCTGAGGAGTGCTTTGGTGGGAAGGGTTTGGGGAGGTTTTGCCTTGCTTTGTCTCAAGACAGGTAACAGCTGGTGCTCCAATGGCCGGAACCATGTTAGATGTAAATGCACCAGCTCGGTGCTGCTGCCAGGGTCAGGGACATGGTGCAGGGCTCGCTGCAGCCTCGTGCTTTGGTTTCGTGCTCAGCATGCATCGCTCCGGGGGCCCGAGCTCGCGGCTTAGGGCGGCAATGCAGCAGCTCCGTGTGTCCAGGGGGTGTTTTCCATGTCAATGTTTGTGTAAGAAACTATACCCCAAACAAAACTTCCCGAACTTGGTGGAGAAACTTGTGTTTCATTTGGTCGTTAAGCTAACCAGAATCTAGGCTAAAACCGCAGTCATTCCTAAAATGAAACAATGAAGGATTATTGCAGGGACTCCACTCTCCTGTGACAGGCAACGTGTGTTCACAGCAGCGTTTGGTGATGGAGAAAGAGAGATTCAAATCGACAACCACCAAAGCCAAACAAAAGAGGCCACACCAAACCGTTACGTTAGTAAATTCTATTTAATAATTAGTTTGCCACTACTCGTCCCGTGTCTGGGGCAGGGAACGGCTCTGACGGGGGGGA